CAGGGAAATTGCATCAACCCCAAGTATGTTTTTTGTCCGCTGTACTTTGTAGCTTTTCCTCCTTGGAAAAAAATATACAAAGCAGCAGAATGAATGTTTAAAAATAAACTGTAAATACTCTGTATCATCAGAGCTCTGTTTTTTTTTATTCCTGTCAAAAATCCAGAAGTAAAATATTACCTAGGATGAGATGCGGCATACAGAATTTCAGACCACTTTCAGTCAGAACTGTGATGAAAAGTATAGCTTGTACTTAAGAGCTGTATTCCAATTATCAGCTGTTTGTGAAGTCTCCCTAATAGACCACGTGACTAAACTTATAATATCCTACTTTTTTCCCTTAAAATTCAATTTCTAGAGCACGTATAAATACTTTTCTTGAATTGAATAGCAAGGTTTCTCTTGGAACTGTGAGTTTGAAGCCAACAAAAAAAAGTAATAGGTTACTTTTGCAAATATTACATACTATAGTAGAACAAAAAAACCAAGTGCTTGCATTGTTATCTACAGTGTGGTAAATAACTCATATTCATTATCATGTAGGCAACAGTAGGCATGTAATGACTTGAGTGGGCATTGTACATAATCTTGCACAGTAGCAATGATTTTAAGAATTTATGGGTTTAAAAAAATACATCAGTGGTTAAAAGTCTTTAAACTAACAGATTTTTCACTATAAGTATTAGCTGCTATTGTCTAATTTAGCATTGAAGTCACAATCTTCTAATAAGCCATTTTTCTACAATTGATTTTTCTACAAAGCATAATTTTTGCTGGAGGATTTTATTTCAATAGCCATTCACAAAGCAGTTAGGGAAAGTGATACTAAAGTCCTAAGGTGAAAATACTCCGCTGCTGGTAGAAGACTTGCATAAACCACTTACTGCATCCCTTCATCATTACCCCTGTATCAGGTAAGAAACGGAGAGCTCTGGATGCTCTCTATTCTGGGGACATGCTATGCCGAGTGCCAAAACAGCCACAAGAACTTTTCTTAGAACAACTGGACACTCAAAATCTTGCTGGACACACTCAAAAAGTCTCAGTGGGTGTGTCTACATGTGATGCTCTGTCGCCATAGCAACCTGCTACAGCAACGTAGTGTCGGTGGTCACTAACCGTGATGCCGCAGCTACATTGCCATAGCAACACACTTCCTCGTTATAGCGCTTTGCTACAGTGATGTAGCAGCTAAAAATAACCATGCATGGTGCAGTACGGGCTGTTTATTGCGCCATCATTTACTACTTCCAAAAGGCAGCAACATAAACGTCATAGGGACGCATGTAGATGTACCCACTGTGTTGCATTTTCACTTTAATAATCTGAATGGTACAGTGGTTTGCCACATTTTCTGTACAAAAACCTTCCCCATCCATCTACGCATAAAGAAATCAAAATACCATTTAGAAATATGGGAGGGAAAATGAGTTGTGAATGCTTGACACCTTCCCAACCCTGGCGAAGGTAGACCCACTGGATGAGAACCCACATGGCTACATTTTCAAGCCCTGTTTCATTTTATTTACCAACAAAGCAGAATTTAATGTTGTGTTGTGTCTTGTTTTTTTAGGAGCAGACAGTGTGGTTTATCTTTCTGTTGAAGGCTTGGTGTCATCTGTGCAAGAAAGTATTAAAGCCAGGCAAGAAAATGAAAACCACCTTAAAACCAATAAGTCATGTGTTGGAAAGATTGGTCATTGTATAGCATGTCTCACTGGAGAATACCCTGTAGAGCTCGAATGGTGAAATTTTAATGCACAAGCAACCATGCTAAATGTAATTTTTGACTGAGAAATGCATTATACCTAATAGCATATAACATGCTCTTACATTTAGCAAACCACTTAAAGTCTATTATATCTGTCTAATTGCTGTAACTGAAATAAATCTTTACAGACTTCCAATAACTTTATGGTGATAACCATATAAGTACCTAAATGGAGAAAATATAAAATTAGGCAGATTTGATTAACAGCATTGCTTTTTTGACATGTGACAGTGTATAAACCAAAATATTTTCAAATACATAGCTGTTCCAGCTGAAGAGGTTTTTTTTTAAACCTTGTTTGGGAAGATGAATATTTTTTATAGACAAAATTGGTTAATTTAACCAACTAAGGATACAGATCCTGGATCATAAAATGAACTTTAGAATTATCAAACAGTATTGCAAAGAATAATGTGAAGCCTGCTTTTCTGTTTTGGACAAAATAGCAGATTCTAGAAAGTTTATTTTTCTTTTCTTTTTTTTTTAATGGTTTTCCCAGCAATTCTTATTAAGCCCTTTATGGAATATTGGATTTTAAAGAACAAGTTAAGTGCCTAAATGTTTGCTTATATGGTAAATTGTCTTTATAATTAAGCTATGTAGCTACATCTAATCTATATATCATGTTGAGTGAATGTTGCCTTCATGGCATGTGGCCTTAAAAGTAGAAGACTCATGGAAATTCTAAACAGAAAGCTCTGTAAGTCGGTGTAGTTTAAAGTTATGAATAATAACCAGCATAATTTGTACAATCTTTTGGTGTTTTTAATTTATTTCAGTGGAATCTGTTGGCAGAAATTAGTCACAATAAGATTAGACGTGCATTTCAAACTTGATGATTTTTTCCCCTAAACATTTTATTATTTTAATATAACTTCTTAAAATATGAAGGCTGAACTAATGTGTGCTTTTATATCAGCTTTTAAGGTAGCATGAAAAGAATATTTTTGATTAACTTGAGAACATGTTGATATATTATGTCAACTGAAGATGTAAGAGTCAAAATGCATTGTGTTAATTGAACAGAGTTGCAGGTAACCTACATCTATGTGAACAGTTGCTAAAAGGAACAATTAAACTTTCATAAAATTTGTGGATTTCTACATATCTTTAAATGCTCTGTATATACGTCACTTTTCCAGACAATTGACAGCAATTTATTTTAAAATTGGCTTCTTCTGTATATTGACCTTTCATAGATTTCATAGACATTTGGGCTGGAAGGGAC